CCCCCCCCCCCACACACACACACTGAATGTGAGCTGGGCATCAGATGCCATGAACGTGCTGTGTGATCTCAGTGTTTTTGATTGACCTCTCTGGGCCTCAGATTCCTAATCTGGAAAATGAGGGTGTGGGCTGGCCGATTTCTAAGCTTCACTCCTTTTTTATCAGTCCGTGCTTCTAAAGCAAGTCTTGGTGATAATATTGAAACCCTGACTATGATGCCTGTGTGTTATAAACCCTCTGTATGGTACCTGCCCGAAGGAAGGTGAGGCAGAGAGAGACAATCGTCCCCCGGCGGTTCCCTCCTTACCTGGTAAACGAACCCCTGACTTTGACCTGGGCGTATGGCCAGCTAGTCTAAAGGCGACCTCTTCCAGACTCTCTTACATTTAGTCGTGGCCTTGGAATGGAGTTCTGGCCAACATAGCCCCAGTGCGGTGTGCGAATTCCAGGAAATGCCCTTGAGGGAAGGTAAGAGGACCTTCCTCCCTCCTCCCTCCTTCCTTCCTGCTAACTGGAAGGTGGATATGATGGCTGGACCTTCTGGCTACAGAGTGCCAGCCATGCGGAAGGTGGCAAAGCAAATCTAGAGGAACATCTAGGCCCTGCCCCTGTGGAGGCCTCGACAGCCCTAGACCATGGGTTTATTTTTATGGGAGAGAGAATTAAATTTCTATGTTGTTAAACTTCCGTTTCATTAAAGCTGCTTCATTTTTTTCCTTTTTACTCATACGGATGGTGAATATGGGACTCTGTCTAGAAAAGCCTCAAGATAGGAACTTTAAAAAGAAGATGCCAGATCCCCCTGCAGACTAGAATGCACCTGTTAGAGGATGCTTGCTTGTCCTCAGGCCCCATGCGGCCCACACCGAGCGCCTGGGGGGCGACCAGCGCCGGCTTCCCTGCCCGGGGCCCCAGGTCCTGTCCTGAGCGACACGGAGGCTGTGCCCAGGCACTCACCGACGGAGGGGCCCGAATCCCGCTCACCCAACACAGGCTCCTCCCCTTGAACTCGCTCAGGGACAAGTCTGACC